TTCTCCGAGCAGCTTCATGTGATCTGAAGGGGAGACCTGAGCAGTTTCCTAGCCAGTCCATGGATTCTTCCCATGACATTCCTCTGACAGCAACCTGGAGGACAGCGTGGTGAAGAGAGGAGGAGAGTGGTCAGCAAACGAGCAGGGCAACAGCCAGCCAGAACCTTTCCATAGCTTTGAAGACAATCCCCTCCTCTTAGGATGTCTCACTGCTGGGCAGTTATCCCAGGGGGGCATTTCTGGTGAGTTCGGGAAGGCAAAGCCTTCCCCCACCAAGAGACTGGCCACCCATGTTGCCTGCATAGCAGAGGCTCCCTGGAACAGTTTGCTAAGATGTCTGGAGATGGCGTGGGACTCCTCCCTGCACATCTCTACAGAGCTGTCATGGAGGAACTCTTTCATTCTTCTCACAAGGTTTCTGGGGAGGCTGCCTTCTCCCATCCTCCATGGTTGGCCACCTTCCCATGCCAAGCCAGCAGTGAGTGGTCTGGTGTCATTGCGGCATAAAGTCCAGGGTTCTGGCCTCAGTCAGCATCTGCTCCCTATCGCTCTGTGAGATTTGGAGAAGACTGATATCATGCCTGTCCTCCTGGATGAAGCAGGGGAAACTATCAACTGATGCTCTGCAGTAAACTTCCGTTTTCTCATTGGAGCCCTGTCACCATGCCCCTCTCCACCCACCCACCCATTCCTGCAGGAAAGGAAAGTTGCACTCTCCATGTGAGCTGCTACTCTTCAGACATGCCCTTTCCCTTACCCCTCTCCTGCTTGTATGCTCCTGTGGGAAGGGAAGGTTGCACTCACCTGGCCAGAAGGGGGCGCCGAACATATGGGTGTGCCATAAGTCCAGGCTCTTCCCTGCCCTGTCCATCTGCCCCACTGTATCCTGCCTCCCCTTCATTCTTCCCTCCTCCCCGTAGACTGGAGCCCTGGCCTCTCCCTTACCATGCCTGCCACCAAACCGAGTCCAGCTGTTCCCCTAAGAACTCTGCGGCGTACCTGCTGCCTAGTGATTGCTTAAAAGCATAACTGTGGTCTTGGACACATGCTCAACAGTGTAAAGAAGGTTCTTCACATTTTGTTGCAGCAGGAACAGCAGTGAGCATGTTCTGGTTGGCACGGATCCACGGGTGAAAATAGACTAGGGAGGATGCATTCAATCATGCATATCAATCAATTGTATCTTTAGTGCTTGTGTTGGGGGAGGGGAGTTTACAGGCAAGCACACTGAATGCAAGGGCATCTTGTTAAGAGCAACATGTATGACTCTCAAATCTGGCCATTCATAAAACTCTCTTTCAAAGCTTCTCTCATTGCAGTATCCCTTGCTGTGCTGGCCTTATTGTCCTGGTATCTAGCAGCTCAGAATTATTGGCTAGGCTCTGTGTGTCAACCTCTCTCCCCTCACTGTACCATATACCTTTCCCCCTTACTCTCACAAATATTTACAGCTCACACAGCAGGCTACCACTACAGTGGGAATGCTGCTTTCTCTGAGGTGTAACTTAGTCAGTAGACTGCGGAACCTTCCCTTTTAACAACCAAAAGCACATTTTTTCACCATTCTGCACGTGCTTAGCCTGTAGCCGAACTACTTACTGCTGTCCAGGTTGCCTGTGTACCGCATCATGAGCCACTGGAGCAAGGGGTAGGCTGGGTCTTCAAGGGTCACTATTGACATTTCAACGCCTCTGATGTTAATTTTCTGGTCTGGGAGAAAACTTCCAGCTTGCTTCTTTCTGAAGAGGCAGGAGTTCCTAAAGATAAAAGACGTGCACCTTTCCCGCTCATCCCATGCTGATGTTGGTGAAACAGCCCTTGCTATCTTTCAGTGCTTATAGCACCATTGAGAAGTATCCCCTGCGGTTTATGGACTCTTTTGGTAAGGTGGTGCCAGTATAGGGATGTGTGTTCCGACTGTCGCCCCACCACAGTTAGGAAAGCCCATATCAGCGAAGCCCTCCACTATGTCCTGCATGTTTCCCAGAGTGGTATTCTCCATAGCAGAAGGGTATTGATTGCCTTGGGTACCTGAATCAGCTTTTCCCACTCCAAACTGATTCCCAACTGAGTGACAGCTGTCTGGCCTTGCAAGCTTCCACAGGGCAAGTACCACTCGCTTCTCCACTGTCTATGTGGGTCTCATTCTGGTGTTCCTGCACTTCAGGGCAGGGGAAAGCAATTTGCAAAATTCCATGGAAGTGGCCTTTTGAAATTTTTGCGTCTGCTGCTGATCGTTCCATTGTTGTACCAGTCTGTGCTTGTCTGACGGCACCCTGAACTGATGTTCCACTGTGTCCAGAGAATTGAATGCTGTCAGAATTTACAATTCGTTCAACTTACGTGTTTTGCAAAAGAGTATGTGCATGGCCTCCTGAGATTCTTCCTTGCTCCAGCAGACCCTTGATATGCTGTGGATATACTCCAACATAAAGCTCACCATGATTAATATGATTGCGATAATGCTTTGATGCTCAATGGGATCCCTGACACGTTTCATGCTTATGCTGCTATGGCATCTGCATGGAGAACCAGAGAAGAAAAGGGCGTGAAAAGACTGTTTGCTGTTGCTTTCAAGAAGGGGGGAGAAAACAAATGCATTATGGGACACTGATGACATGTACCCAGAACCAGCTGCTGCACAGTTTTGATCCCAGCGTTCACTGGGAGCATAACCCACAATGCAAAGGGACACAGGAACTGTGGGATAACTACCCACAGTGCATCACTCAAAGTCGACAGGAGCCACCATATTAGGGATGTGCTACTTTGAACTCCGTTGAATTCTCGTGTACAGTGGGAATATGCACCTTTGACTTAACAAAATGCTGAAAATCTACCTTAATAAATTTGACCTTATCACTCCATGTAGACAAGGACTTAGGGTCATCATCGCAAACCTGATGTGGCTCATTGCCTCTCAGTAGAGAGACCGGAGACTGATTGGAACTGGAGAGTGAATCATTCTGTTCCCAGGGATGCTTCCTAGATATCACAGCTGAGGTAGGGAAGCATACAATTGCTACTACCTTTGCTGTGCTTGATCTGCTTTTATAGAGGGAGCTCCATTCCTGGGCTTGTCAGTCTGGCACCAATCGTGATAACTAACTGCACCTAATAATACTAATAGATTGAAGTTATTTCAAATGAATATTTAAAGTAATTTGCCCAAATGAGTTATTTTGATGAGTAACTTGGCAAGTGTAAAAGTGTGCTTAGTTTCTTAAATGGCTGACAAGAAGTTCATCCATGACAACTTCCTTTTGATTCTCATTTTCTTACATCGGTCATAGATATGATGGCCAACAATCCAAAAGTGAACATAGTTATTATTGTGTGGTAATAAAACAGGCGTGTCTCACCATGTCGGATACTTATTTCATTTCATCAGGACAATGGTTACCACACAGATGTAAGGGAAAGTCCGTTCTTCCTTGGAAGCTAAATTATAGAGCAGATATAGGCACGAATGGATATGTCTAAACTACATCCCTCTGTCAAAAGAGGGATGTAAATTAAGTAAATCAAATCACAAATGAAGCGGGATTTAAATATCCCGTGCTTCATTTGCATAATGGCGTCCAAGTGCTTTTTCGAAAAAGAATTTTTCGAAAGTGAAAGCTCCGTCTAGACGCAGTTCTTTCAGAGAAAAAAAACCCTTTTTCGAAACATCTCTCACAAAAAATGAGTACGGGATCTTTCGCAAAAGGGTTTCTTTTCAAAAAAACAGCATCTAGACGGAGCTTTCACTTTTGAAAAACTCTTTTTCGAAAAAGCACTCGGATGCTATTGTGCAAATGAAGTGCAGGATATTTAAATTTCGATTTTCCTAATTTACATCCCTCTTTCGACAGAGAGTTGTGGTTTAGACATACCCAATGTGTCCCCTCATTTTGTGCTAGTAGAGGGGAGTAAAAGTTAAGTGGATCTGTAGTGAGGGGTGTAAAAGAGGAAGAGTTGCAGCTCCACGATGTGGAGGAATACTTAGCAATTTTGCTCCTTATGTTTTTGGGAGCCTTTATAGTAGGAGAGAGTTTTAAAGCAGTAGTTCTACATGCCATTACCTCTTTGGGACACAGTAGATTCCTAGCTGGAAACCTGTGCTGAAGTTAATGCCGTAACAAACAACCTTAACTCCTCCTTTTGGACTTTCTATCGTCTTTGGAGAAGTCGACTGGGCCATCAATGGCAGACTCTTTGCTTAGGAAGCAGTACTTCCATTGAGCAGAATAGAGCAGCTAAGGCTTGCTCTGCCCTCAGAAATGTAGGAGGTTGGTTTCTCATTTCTCTCTGGTAGAGATGTAGCCGTGTTAGTCTGGGGTAGCTGAAGCAAAATGCAGGACAATGTAGCACTTTAAAGACTAACAAGATGGTTTATTAGATGATGAGCTTTCGTGGGCCAGACCCATCATCTAATAAACCATCTTGTTAGTCTTTAAAGTGCTACATTGTCCTGCATTTTGCTTCATTTCTCTCTGGATACCTAAGCTCCACAGGGCTAGCAATCTATAGGCACTTACTATCCTCTGCTTAAGTGCTAGAATCCCACATGTTTATGAAAGAATCGAAGAGGAATGCGGAGATTCTCCTCAGACATAACTAGCATTTGCTATCGTCTGCTTTCAGGTTTTTATTTAGATAATTGGGTCCCTACTTTATAATTATTGTTAAATATTCTAATGTAAATGACTGGCATAGAAATGTGTGATATAGGAATTGAGAGATTCAAGAAGAAAAAAGGCTAATGGAATATCTGGTGCTTGTAACATAAAACTGTAGCTGCTTTAAGACTGTTGAAATATGAGCCACTAAATTCTCTGCTAACCGTGCACAATGGTGTAAAATTTTATCTGTTTCTTCTAATTCGTAATTGCTCTTTGGATTTTATGACATTTAGTACTCCCAGATACAGCAACAAATTAAAAAAACATTCTGGTTAAATCTCACCAACCAAGACATACCAGTTCAAAAGATTGTTTTTCCCCTATTTTAATTTTTAGGTGATGGTTGCAGAAGCATTAAATATATCGAGGGAAACTTACTTTGCAATTTTGATGGACAGAGCTTGTAATGGACCTGTGATGGTTGGCAGCCCCCAGGGGGGAGTTGACATAGAAGAAGTGGCAGCTACAAGCCCGGAACTTATTTTTAAGGTATGAAAATAACATTTCAGACTCAAATTGTAACCAAATTCCCAAATGAAAAAATCTTTTCTTTGCAAAAAAAAAAAAGTTAAAATAATTAAATAAATATATCATGTAACCCCTGCACATGGTCCTAGGAAATGATTAGGGTTCAACAGCTTGTTGCATTACCCATAAGCCTCTTTTCCTAATTCATGCAAAGTGTTAGTGATGTAATTGCTCTAAATTTCACGTGTTAAACTTTATCTATATATGAAGCATATTCCTAAATGTTTCTTAATCTTTCCTATTTCATCTTAACAATATCATGATTGCCAATTTAAAAAAAAAACTCAACATTTTATTTCAAAGGTGGACTTTATCCTTACTTCCTCCACTTAGTAGAGGTTTAACTCTGACACCTCAGATCCCGCTGTGTAGTAACTGTTGGCATGTATTGACTTCTGAGTGATGAGTAATGCATTTAAGTATTTATAATATTTCCGTGGCTTGATAATGAGTAGATAAGCTATTCATTTGAGCAAATAATTGATACAGACACATATAATTATGTGGGGGAAGCAAAAATATTTAATGCACATTTTGAAATTATATAAACGTAGTAATATTACTGGGCAATAATACCACTGTCTTGGAGACTCTCCAGAAGATGTCATAAAAATTAACAGCCTAAATATTCATCAACGCCATCTGTACAGTAATTAAAAATGAAAACTGGTGTCAGATTGTCTTGTCAGCATGCCACCCTGAAGAATTATATAGTTTTTTTGGAAGGACTGTTTTATAGATGGTGTGATAATTATAACATACCCTATAGGCAGCTGCTATAGCCTCAATCTCAGAGAACTTTGGCAAACTGCCATACTTTAATTACTAATTTGCAAATATATACTAAGCATTTTTCTTTTGAAGTTATAACTCTCCACTCAGATTGAATATCTTAATTCTCTTTATGTACATTATTGTAACAGGAGGAAATAGATATTTTTGAAGGTGTCAAGGACAACCAAGCATTGCAGATGGCAGAAAATTTAGGATTCAAAGGACCTTTGCAACAGCAGGTAACTTGACAGGAAAGGGCTGAATTGTCTTCAGACAAAGAGGGTGGAGATGCCATTTCTGCTAAGTGATAAATTCCCCCTGAATGGTTCGGAGAAGTCTTATGTCTTTTACTGTCATACCTAAAACTTTGTATCTTAATAAACTGAGATGTATTAATTGAGCACAACAGGTATTGCCCCTCTAGATGCAGGTTTGTGAGCTAACAGAAAATGTATTGGTCCCTGAAATTAAAATAGATTTAGTCCTTTGATCCTGTGAGTTCCATTGATTTCAGTGGGTGTAATGGATCTGACCACATGGCTCCTTTTACTGGCAACAACAAATGGTTTTTTTGTACAGCTGTAGAACATTTTACTTTTTACAATTCAGACACACAATCAAACAAAGGCTGCCAGTTTGCTGAAAGAGTAGAATTTTCAATGCATCAGTGCTTATCTCTGTTCCGTGGAAGGAATTCTACATAGTACATAATATCACAAGGTACGGTGCTGGTGTGAAGCACTTTGTAAAATGGAAACAGCTTACTTGGGTTAATGTTAATAGGTGAAAAAGGTAGCTATATTAAACTCTTTCTTCATACTTTCCCCCAGAATATCAACATTTTCTGTAGAATCTTTGTGTTTTCAATACACCTCTAATTATTTTCCATTCTAAATGTGCAATTAACAAATGCATAAGCATTAGGCTGATTGCTACATATTTGAAGATTTAGCAGTCTTTTCAGTGAGAATCAATGATTATATCAAACCTTTCCACCCTTCTGGCACTTAATTATTGCCAGCAATACAGGGACTGTTAAACTGAACTATTGTATATGTTTCTTTACTTGTGCCATAACCTTTTTAATGGGATTTACTGAAGTATGGAAATGAAGAGGTCAGTAAATAAAACAGTCCATCTAAACAGCAACTATTTCTTAGGTGTAGGATACCTCTCCAGGTGCAAATACAGCTCTGAAAGAACCCCTGCCACCAGCCTTAGAGGCTAGGGCTAAAACTGACTCAGACTTGTGCTGTGGGGCTAAGAATAGCAGTGGAGATGGCTTGGGTTTGGGTTGTAGCCGGTGAGGGTGGTCTCTGAGGCCAGCCTCCTGCCCAACCCTGAATGTGTACCCCTCAAGTTCACAGCCCACAGCCTGAGCCTGGTGAGACCAAGTCAGATGGCCCAGGCTGGCTGCACGTGTTTATCTGCTGGGTGGAAATACCTTTAGGGTCTCAGCACATAACTTGCAGCTTATGGGATGGGGAACTATGGAGGCTTTAAGCCCCTGTGTACCCTCCTGATTCTGAGCTGCTCTATAACTTACAGCTGCTTTATGGGCTACAGGGCTGCCCGGACTCTCCTTTGTGTCACAGGTAGTACCCTCATCCGCAGGATGCTCTGCCTGCCCTGACATGCCTCCTGTACCACAGCTTGCGGGAAATCGCCATCGATAGGGCAGTTGTCTACACTCTGTATCTGTGCTGGGGACTCCTGCCCTGATGGAGCTTGTAGAGCCCTCTTCTACCACTTCTGCCTTTTTTCTTTGGCATACAGGGCTCAGAGTGGGCATGAGAATGTCATCCCCGTTTTACAGGCCTGCTTACTGGTATCTGAAAACAAAAGCATGGCTAAATTCTGATGCAGGGATGACTTTCTAGCAGCTACTGCTACACGAGCGCCTGTTTTAATTGATTTTAATAATATATTAGCTTGCTTGCAAGTTGTATTTTTTTTATTTATATTGGATTTAGTGCACTGCTATGAATGTCACAGTTACAGAGGCACAATGCCTTGGGAAAGTCACCCATTGAACTGAGAGCAGGGTTTGGCCCATTCGTTGTACTCCTGAAGAAAGAGCAAATATATGTGCATACAGAGCACGCTCAATTAGAGCTTGGCAAATGTCTCAGAATGGAATTTGCATTGGCTGTGTTCATGAACCTTTTGAATTCATTTTCTGCAGATTTTCTTCCGAGCAAGTTTATTGGCAGGAATGTTTTTAAAAACGGAATTTTATGCACATATTTTTGAGAAGCGAATGTTTAATTCAGAGATGAGTATTCACACCAGAAATCTGATTCTAATAATTATGTCATCATCCAGTTAGGAAACAGATCACATAGTATATTTTTATGTGTCCAATTAAAATTGAGACAAATAGTAGCTCCAATATTAAATATTAGTAACAAAATGCTTGGGTACAGCCCACAGGACAAGAATTTCTTTTAGAGATTATTTGGCAAATAATTAATAACAAATATGTGTAGAAACCTGGAAGATGGTACTGGTACAACATAGATGTAAAACCTCAACAATTCCCTCAATGTTATACTCCTGTAGTATTTTCAGATAACTGTTCAACGGTAGAAGTGGTGTGGGTTTTTATAGGGCTAGAAGCAATGTAAAAGCAAATGTGGCTATTAATTTGGTTCCCTTCCATAGTTTCCCTAAGATCCCAAATGTTCTGGTCTTGAAGTTGTGGTTAACTGAATAAAAGCTTTAGAATATGTGGTTTGAGGCTTTTTGCTACTTGCAATTAATAGAGTTGCTATATGCAAATTAATTACAGGTGGGAAGGTTAGTTTACCTGAGATGTCACATTCCCAATGCTTGAAATTTAGCTGACCTGTTAAGAGAGGAACAGCAGAGGAAAATAGTGGTTGGGGACTGTTGAGCTTCTGACTGGACATGGCTGATTGGAGGGAACGCTGTTAGACTTAATATTATGTCACAATTACCTTGACTTTCCCACAAAGCCACAAAGAGATGGAGGGGCAAAAAACAGCAATGGGGCAGGAAAG